TTGGCCTTGCGGTGGGTGGAGGGGCAGAGGGGAGTGTCAGCCCCCACCCTACCCCCAGCTCAGGTTTCCTCTTGGAGACAGACTGTGCCGCCAGCAGCAGTCACCACTGCCACCGCCCCTCACACCACCATGCCTGCCTCTTCCCTTGGGCATGGCTCTCTCTCCCTGCTAAAATCCCGTTATATCCCCTGGTCCTTGGTCCCACCTTAGGAGTTGAGGGAAGGTTAGGCCGAGATTTTAAAAGCAATGACCCAGATGCCCTTTCTGGAATGGCCGTTCTTGGGCCTGTTGAGGGCCTGCTGGAGCCAGCCGAGAGAACTTCCAAAAGGAAGAGATGAGGATTAGGACTGATACTAATACTAAACCTAAAAGTTTATAAAAGCAGGCAATATCTGGGATATTATTAACAGCCGATGTTAGCTTTTACAGTCTTTTCACAGACTGACAGGTAGTCCAGGGAGTCAGTATCACCTCACAAAAGAGGAAACTCGGGTTCCCTTCAGAGTGGGGAAGTGACTTACCCAAGGTCACACGAATCTAAGCCTGCCTCAAGGTCACAGGGGAATTCTGAGGTTTGCCTGTAGTGTGGCCCCAGACATGCGTTTTTCCTACATGCCCAGGTTCCTGTTGAGTTGTTTACAGTGGAATCTTTGAACAATTCCTAATATGGCCCACTTTCTCTCACCCAGTCTGTTGGATGGAGCCCAGGATCTACATGCTCCAGCTGGGCCTGGGCCCCTGAAGGAAGCCAAACGGGATTTTATGTGACACGCTTCCCCTTGTTTCTGTCTGTCCATCTGTCCAGGATGGGGAACCCCCTCGGCAGAGGGTGACTGGGACTCTAGTCCTCGCTGTGTTCTCAGCTGTGCTCGGCTCCCTTCAGTTTGGCTACAACATTGGGGTCATCAATGCCCCACAGAAGGTGAGAGATGGTACAGCTGTTGGAGTGAGCACTCAGAGGTGACACAAAGAGGTCTCTAGATTCACTCCCATGTTGTCCCCCAGGTGATTGAACAGAGCTACAATGCAACATGGCTGGGGAGGCAGGGTCCTGACGGACCCAATTCCATCCCACAAGGCACCCTTACTACACTCTGGGCTCTCTCCGTGGCCATCTTTTCTGTGGGCGGCATGATTTCTTCCTTCCTCGTTGGCATTATTTCTCAGTGGTTGGGAAGGTATGGAGCTGGAGAGCAGGGGTGGGGAGGTAGGAAGGAGGGCCGTAGCATGGGTGCCCTGACCAGCCCTCCTCCTTGTGTGCCTGCCAGGAAAAGGGCTATGCTGGCCAATAATGTCTTGGCAGTGCTGGGGGGCACCCTCATGGGCCTAGCCAACGCCGCTGCCTCCTATGAGATCCTCATTCTCGGCCGCTTCCTCATCGGCGCCTACTCAGGTACCCGTGGGTGCGATGGCGCTATTGTGCCCTGTTGTCCTCCATCGTATATGGGCTTCCGTAAGCCCTCTTCTCTTCCTTCTGCCCAGGGCTAACGTCAGGCTTGGTGCCTATGTATGTGGGAGAAATTGCCCCCACTCATCTTCGGGGTGCCTTGGGAACACTCAACCAATTGGCCATCGTCATTGGCATTCTAATTGCCCAGGTAAAGGCCTGGCCTTGAGAGGAGTTGGATTGGACATCCATAGTCGAGCAGGAAGGAGTAAAGACACCTTTCTACCTTTCCTACCTTCTCCCACAGGTGTTGGGCTTGGAGTCTATGCTGGGCACAGCTACCCTGTGGCCACTACTTCTGGCTATCACAGTACTTCCTGCCCTCCTGCAGCTGATACTGTTGCCCTTCTGTCCCGAGAGCCCCAGATACCTCTAAATCATCCGGAACTTGGAGGGGCCTGCCCGAAAGAGTGAGCTCTCACCTTGCATATTAGCCCGGGCTCACACCTCCATCCCATCCATCTTGCTAGTACCCCTCCTCCTCTCAGGCTCCATAAGGCCTGACATTCCCCACCCCCAGGTCTGAAGCGTCTAACAGGCTGGGCTGATGTGTCTGATGCACTGGCTGAGCTGAAGGATGAGAAGCGGAAGTTGGAACGAGAGCGGCCCATGTCTCTGCCCCAGCTCCTGGGCAGCCGCACCCACCGGCAGCCTCTCATCATTGCCGTTGTGCTCCAACTGAGCCAGCAGCTCTCCGGCATCAATGCCGTACGTATGGAGACCCAGGCAGACAGTGGCTCAGGTAGCAATTTGGGGAAAGGGAGAAGGGAATAAGCCATCTCCTCCATCAGCATTCAGGCTCAGTCCAGTTTGGTGTGGTTGGGAAGGGCCAGACATCCCAGCCATGGCCCTTCCTGCTCCCTCACTTCTAGGTTTTCTACTATTCAACCAGCATCTTCGAGTCAGCTGGCGTAGGACAGCCAGCCTACGCCACCATAGGAGCTGGTGTGGTCAACACGGTCTTCACGTTGGTCTCGGTAACTGTTTGCCTGTGGAGCAGCCACATCACTAGGTTTTTAGCCCTGGGTGCCTTGGAGATCCTACTCTTTTTTTCCCCAACTGACCAGCTCCCCACCCCCACCCCAACAGGTGCTCTTGGTAGAACGAGCTGGGCGACGGACGCTCCATCTCCTGGGCCTGGCAGGCATGTGTGGCTGTGCCATCTTGATGACAGTGGCTCTACTCCTGCTGGTGAGGCCTGGGGGCTGTGAGGACACAGCGGTCCAACCCATGGGGATAACCTCACGGGGCTATGGGACTGCGTGCTGGGACCACGGGAACTTGGTTCTAGAGTCTGGTCTGCTTCTGAAGTACCCTGGCCACACCAGGGCCTAGCTATAGCACAAGTCTAGCAGTCCCTGTGAAGCCTCAGGACCCATAATTCCCAAAGAAACATCTTCAGAGCCAAGCTGGGAATCAACCATTACAGGACAATCTCCACCTGGAAACCATCTGAGGCAGCCAATAAAATGGCAGCACTCAGACACGCTCCACGGCAGCTCAACATTTGGGAGGCTGTGGTGAAAGACTTACAAGTTCCAGGCCCGTCTGAAAAGTGGGTGAAGAGGGGGTGCTCCAGGGCCTGTTCCAGCCTAGAATGGCAACCTCTACCCAACAAGCCCTGGAAAGGAGATTTCAGTTCTCTGAGCCTAGGGTAAGAGGAGAGAGATCTAGAGAGGCCAGGATCAAATTTTCTACTCTTCTTTCCTGGTCTCTAGGAACGGGTTCCAGCCATGAGCTATGTCTCCATCTTGGCCATATTTGGCTTTGTGGCCTTCTTTGAGATCGGCCCCGGCCCCATCCCTTGGTTCATTGTGGCCGAGCTCTTCAGCCAGGGACCCCGCCCAGCAGCCATGGCTGTAGCTGGTTTCTCCAACTGGACCTGTAACTTCATTGTTGGCATGGGTTTCCAGTATGTTGCGGTAGGTTCCCGGCCCTTTGCCCAGTTTCCCATTACCAGTGGCCAGAGGGGAGGCAACCCACCCCTAGTTCCTGCGCTGTCCAGTCAGGGACTCCCAGGCTCACAGGTAGTTTCTGGATGGAACTACACCAGAGTCAAACAAGTAGGAATAGATGGGCCAGCAGCAGAGTTATCTTTTAAAAAATAAACAGTGGTATAATTTAGACCAGAAATAAAATGATAAACTTTCTAGTAATGCTATAAGTGGTTTAGGAATCTACTCCAAGTGTACGCTCTTAGGATAGCAAAGGGTGAAAAGCTAAAGGGGTTTTTCCATGTAAATTTTAATTTCTGGTATCTCTTGAAGGAGTCACCTGCTCCTTGAAGTAGCCCCAGCTCCCTATTAGTCTTTAGCTCCTTGCTTCCCACCCTCTGTCGTCAACACCTCTTTCTCCGACTGTCCCAGGATGCTATGGGTCCCTACGTCTTCCTTCTATTTGCCGTCCTCCTGCTTGGCTTCTTCGCCTTCACCTTCCTAAAAGTGCCTGAAACCAGAGGCCGGACGTTTGACCAGATCTCAGCTGCCTTCCGTCGGACACCTTCCCTCTTAGAGCAGGAGGTGAAACCCAGTACAGAGCTTGAATACTTAGGGCCAGATGAGAACGATTGAGGGGCAGGGCAGGGTGGGAGAGCCACCCTCTCCACCCATGCCCCTCCTTTCCTCTGCAGCACTTTAGCCCCCTTTTCCCATCACCTCCAGGATGGAGAAACTGCAGCCTGGAGAACTGGGAAGCTGAGGGAAGGGTGGTTCATGTACCCCCATTCCCCTCCTGTGACTTGGATTATTTATGTGTTGTGGCTAGGCTGTGGCCACCCAGTGGGCTATTCTCCTCTTCTGCCTTCCTCCTGCCCCTACCCAGACTCAGCCCCAGAATAGTTTTGCTCCTTTTAGAGAAATGGACCTGCAGAGGGAGGTGCTGGGTTGAATTCAGTGGATGAGCAGGAGCAGAGGTGGATCTGAGATGAGCGACTTCCTACCAACTCCGACTCCGCCCACAATTTGGCACTTTCCCTGAATTCTTGCCACATAGACTCTGGGTGAAGGGGGTTCTGTCTTGACCCCACCAGGGCAAAGGACACACCCTCCCAAAGTCTAGCCTCTCCATAGTCCCTGTGGGCTCCACCTTCCAGGGCAAAGGAACACAACAGTATATACCTGAATGTGGCAAGGAGCAGTAGCAAGCATCAGTCTCTAGGCTTGGGTGCTAGCCTGTTCCCCACAGCTGCCAAGTGTGGGTACCAGCTCTTTCTTGTTCCCCTCCAGGAAGGGTGCTAGACCTGAAAGCTTTTGACCAACTAAGGGCAAGAGGGGATTTGAAAGGCTGCCTATAAACACTGGTTGGGAGGGAGCCTTTGGATATTTTTATATGTTTTGAAGAACGAGTAGGTAGCAGAAACCCAAGGGCTGCTGTATTAAATGTGTATATAGAGATTCATCCATAAAGTCACTGTATGAAGATGAGTGTCCTGTCATGGAGGAGCTGGAGGGTGGGTGAGACAGACAAGTCGCCCTCACTCCTCTTTGTTCTGCTTTGGCTCAAGAGCTCAGAAGCCTCTAGAGTCTAGATTCTGTCAGTTATTCATATCCACTTCTATTACCCCATTAAAAAAAAAATAGGGTCTTGATGGGTGGTGGTGGCGCACGCCTTTAATTCCAGCACTGAGGAGGCAGAGGCTGGCAGCTCTCTGAGTTCAAGGCCAGCCTGGTCTACAGAGTAAGTTCCAGAACAGCCAGGGCTACACAGTAAGACCCTGTCTCAAACTGACCAGAAGCAAAAAAGGTCTTACTATACAGCCAGGCTGGCCTTGTGCGTGTAGTCAGCCTCTTGCCTCAGCCTCCTGGAGTCCTGGGGTTACAGGCCTGAATCCCCACTTTTTAAAAACACTGACAAGAGTCTATGCGGCCCAGGATGGCCTGGAATTAGGAACCCTCCTGACTCAGCTTCCTGAGTGTTGGGTACATCTGGCTCCTCACTCTGTCTCCATTGCTTTAATTCACAGTAAATGTTTTATAAACTACACTGACAAGCGCCCAGGCACTGTAGAGATCTCCCCATCAGCTAACGGACCCAAGTGTGATTCTCAGTGATGAGAGTTCTTGTCAGAACTGAATTGTCCGAGCGCATCTTAACCCCATGCGTGGTCCAGAAGTGAGTCACCGATGATTTCTCATCTCCAACAGAAAAGAGGCAGAGACCGAGACACCAAGAAAGCCTGCTTTTGTTTTTACTGGAGGCTCAGGTGGCACGTGACAGTTCATAAAATGGCTTCAGAGGTGTTGGGAGGAGGTCGAAGGGAAACAAAAAATAAATGGGTGGGAAAGAAAAACAAGCAGGAGGAGGTGAAGAGCCGGCTGGTCCTTCTCAGCCTGACTTAGGGAGGAAGGTGGTGCCTCTGAACGGTAAGGACGGATCCCTTCCTGCAACCCTTGGGAGGGGAGAGGGAAAAGAGAAAAAGCCAAAGGCTGTTGCTTTGGCCCTCCTGAGTCTCAAGGGAAAAGCTGATGTTTTGATGTCATGAATTATGGGAAAGGGGGGAGGGGGATGCTGGGTAGTCAGTTGGAAATGGGCAGATACCTAAGAATGAGGGAAAAAAGACAAGTCATAAAGGATGACAGCAGAACCCAGTCCCTGGCTTTCTTAGTCAGCAGCAACTCACCAGATGGAAACTCTGGGTGTCCCGAGGTGGAATCACTCCAGTATGGTGGTGGGGGGGTCCCCACTGTTGATAGGTGCTGAGGTCTAAAGACAGCAGTGGCTAATTAAGACCAGTTCACGACCTGCTTCAACTTTCTCTTAACTTGCCTCTTCTGCCCCTTCCAACCAACGCCCACAGTTCACACCCCAACAGCTGGGGACAGGAGCGGGGCATTCATTTAAGACAACCTGGGCTTGACTGCCTGTGCTGGGGTTTCCTGGTGATTGCACTGTCTGCCAGGGGGGAGGGGGGGCAGGCTGATGGGGGCGGGAGGCAGGGACAAGGAAAGCACAGGGCCAAAGAACTGAATTTGAAGCAGAGGAAAAGGACAGAAAGAGGGCAACTGATCTTGGCCTTTCCCACACTGAGTTTCAGGCAACTAAGACCCCACCTCTGCGGCTATAGGCTGCCGGGGGCCAGGGGGCTGCTGCCGACGCCGCTGGAAGTAGGGGCGGTTTCGTGGACGCTGGGGCTCAGGCCGAGAGCCATCAGTGGGGCCTTGACTAGGCTTAGTCTCGCCATCCCCACCTTCTGTGGTAGGCTGTTGGGGTGGCCTAGGGCGGAAAGGCCTAGAAAAAAAACAATCTCTGACAGGACCAGTGCACCCAGGGTAGTAGACTCCCTTCCCTCAGGATTCTGTTTTCTTATCCCAGGCTCTTAGAACTTTTAGAATTCTTGTCCTTTTACATGGGCCCAATTACATGGGCCCAACACTGAACCCTGAAGGGAAGATACAGTATAGTCTTACCTTCGGTACCTGGGCCGGAATCTGGGTGGGGGCACCCGTTCATCTCCCTGCTGTTGGTCCCCCTCCAATGGGGCTGTCTCCTTGGGTTCTACCCCATCGGAGCCCTGGGAATAGACAAGGCCTAGGTGAGCTATTGAGCCCCCTGCTGTCCCTTGGCCAGGTCATCTTTGATTGTTCCTAGTCTTAGTTTTACTTTTTTGAGGATTCTCAGGTCTCCACCCTCACAACTGGCCAACTCCACAGCTGGCTCCATCTCACCTCTATGGGCTGCTGCTGGTTAGGGGGCCGAGGGCCTCGCACAAACCGCCTTCGATAGAAGAAGGGTGGCGGGCGCCGTCGTCTAGGTCGCTGCCCTGAGTCCTCTGCCCGCTCCCCTTCACTGCCAGGTTCAGTTCCACCAGAGGGAGCCTCTGCCACCATGGGTGGTGGGGCAGCCGGGCGAGGCCGGGGGATGAATCTGCGGAACCTACGTCGATTGGGGGCATAGCGGCTGCCCTTCACTGGTACCCCCCCAGGCCCAGTTACATTGGCAGCTTCTGCACCCTGGGGAGGCAGAGAAGGAGTAGTCAGAAATTGTCCTGGTCACAAGCACACAGCACTTACAAACCTGCCAGATCACTGGTGTCCCCCTTCTTCTGGCCCAAGTCCTCTATCCTGTGGCCCCTCAAAATCACTCCTTTCTCCCCTCCCCCAAGGGGCAGCAACAGGAGTTTGTACACATCTGAGAAGAAACAACTTGTCCTGAGAAATAACTGCCACATCCCCCCAGAGTAAAGACAGGACAGGATGTGAAGATAGAGGAGGCCAGGCGGTGGTGGCGCACACCTTTAATCCCAGCACTCGGGAGGCAGAGGCAGGCGGATCTCTGTGAGTTCAAGACCAGCCTGGTCTACAAGAGCTAGTTCCAGGACAGGCTCCAAAACCACAGAGAAACCCTGTCTCAAAAAACCAAAAAAAGAAAAAAAAGAAAAAAAAAAAAAAAAAAGAAGACATAGAGGGGGCCACCCTCCCTCCTTCACTCCAGAGGACTGACTGAGGGTCCTGCTAGGGCTGGGGTCCCGTGTAAAGAACACACACGGAAGTGCTTGGTGAACTAGAGAGAAGAAACCCACGTTACTGGCTGGTGTCCTAGAGCAGCCCTAACATCCCACAACATCCAGGAGAGCGCACAGGCCCCATCCCCGCAACAGGAGGCAGAGCTGGCCCCAAGAGGATCAAAGCCTAGGCTGACAACCCAGGCTACACTCCCACAGTCCTGGCCAACTTCACCCCACAGCAGTTCCCAAACCTTCTCTCCTTCCACGACATCAAACTCCACGGTCTCCCCATCTCCAACACTCCGCAGAAACTTCCTGGGGTTGTTTCTTTTAATAGCTGTCTAGTTAGGGGGAAAGTCATGAGAAAAGTGAGGGCAGAGACCAGGACCTTTCACCAGCTTCAGCCTCCACCCAACTCCACTCTGACATTTTAATGGAGTCTAGGGCTGAAGCACAGAGCAGGAAAGTGCTCAAAGTGGGGCAGGGCCTGGAGCGCAGCCCCGCAGCACAGAAGTGAACTGTTAGTAGGGAAAGTCATGAGCGAGAGGTCTGAGGGATCCACTGTAAAGTCACCACGGTCCCCAACATGTCCTCCCTTCCCTTCACCCCTCAGGGGCTTCAAAAAATGGAGGCAGTAGAAACTCAAAAGCAAAACAAAGGCTGAAATGTCATAAGTTGCTCCTTACCTGGATCCCACCGAGCACTCGCCACCACAGCAGTGGTTCTCAAACTAGCCAGGAGCAGAATCACCTGGGAGCGCGTTACAACAGAGCACCCAGCCCCAAGGCTCATCAATTCCATGCCTTGGGCAGGGCCTGAGAATTCAGGTGATGCTGCTGCCTGCCGGTGCAGGGAACACACTTTGAGATTCACTGTACCCAAGTGTCTCTGGCCTTGCCCTCGGAAAACTGCCTGATTCCTTCCTGTGGTGTTAACAGGTCCCAGGAGGTGGTGGGCATGCCATGCCCTGAGGGCAACGTGCACAACTCTGACAGCTGTTCAGCCACTCAACGGAAGTGGGGCTAATGGTGGTTCATACAGGCACCTGAGCTGGATGGGAGGCCGGCTATTCCTCATGGGCAGGCCGTTGTGAAGTTAAGAGCCAGAGAAACATATCGTGTGCAGCTAGAGGTTGTGGGAAAGGCTTCCACAGAGAGGGCCAGTGCCTCCCCTCAGAAAGCCAACCTAGCTCTTACCTGGTGAACAAAGACATCCTCCTTGGTGTCATTCCTGCAGAACAGGATGGGTGGTTAAGGGGGTGACGGTGAGGCACTCAGTTCCACTGAGGCCTCCCTAGGTGCCCATTCCCAAGATGGGCCCATCCTCTCCACTGTTTCAGTTCCTGGGGGTATGCTGGGGCCCTGGAGCAAGCAGCAGGGTCCCCGAAAGCTGGTGCAAAGAGAACACGCTGCAAATCCCCAGTAAGAACTAGGACTTCATAAGGAAAAGGTAGGAGGAGGCCGCAAAGGCACCTTCAAGAAACCAGGAGAGCCTCACCTTCTACCCCAGAGGCACCTCAGAACCTGATGGTGCCAGGTGTAACTGTCCCTAGCCAATGTCCCCTCCTCCCCTTAACCCCTCTTGGGGATTGGAAAATTCCACAGGCTCCTTCCTTCTAGGATCAGAGAGGGAGAAAGCAGGGCCAGGGCACCAGGCTCAAAGGAGAGAGCAAGGCACACACAGGTGCAGTCCCCAACAGCCGTACCAGCACCATCTTCTCTTTACCCTCAGCCTGGAGGTGAGCCACAAGCGCCCTACACACACTGAACAGGATGAAAAGACACACTCCCGTTCTTCACCACCACCCTGCCTGTGACTTCTTTAATCCCAGGACAGGGAGCAGGAGGCATCCTTGCAGGAAGCTGCCTTCCCCAGAGCAAATGTTCTAGCTTTAAAGACTGTGGGTCTGCACAAAGGTCAGCCTGCAAAGAGGGAACGGAGGCTCCCAGGAGGACTTGGCTGGGCAGGGTGCCTGGGCTGGGGAAGGCCACAGCAGGGGAGACCTGCCACAATTTAGAGAGGCGTGGCTGCCAACTGAAGAAGAGCAGTAGTCTCTGGCTGGGCAGGCACTCTCCCCGCCCCAGCTTCAGTTCCATCAGGTGGACGCGGGAGAGCTGGTTCAAATGAGCCACAGCTCTTTAGAGAATTTGTATAAGTGCCGGGAGTGTTGCCCTTAACCAGGAAACCAGTGAGGGCTCCAAGCAGGAGCCCCAAACATTCTACCCCAAAGGCACAGAGCAAGCTAAAAATAATGAAGCAACTCCAGAAGGTGAGACAGAGGAGCTGGGAAGGTCAGGGTCAGGTTTGCCAAGTTCCTGGATCATTAATCCTCTGCTGCCCTTGAAGATGCGGATGCAGCTTCGTCTTGCCAATAAGCACACTTTAGTGCTGTGGTTAAAGACTCTCAACCAGCCTCAGCTGGACATCACAACCATGTGCCTTGGCAGGGGTAGAGATGAAATAATGTGTCCAATCCCACAGGCCAGCTCAGAAAAAGACACCCGTTCCTCCCCCTCCCTGGGTTCTTTGGATACCTGTTGATGAATCCGTAACCATTCCGGACGTTGAACCATTTGACAGTGCCCAGGACTTGGATTGCTGCCAGGCAGAGATGCAGTGGGGACAGTAAGATGGGGAAAGAGACGGAGATGGGCTGAATTTTGAGAGAAACTAAGCTAAAAATCTAACCTGCCTCCCTATTAAGTTTCGACTCATCAGATCTCACTGGGAGCGTCAAAGTGTTCTCACCCGGGTTCTACTATTTGGAATCCCTCACACAGGGAGGGGATCCAGACGTTCAAACCCACGCTCCTCACATCCTACAAAGTTCAGGTCCTTCACCTAGAACCAGGTACTCACCTGGTCCACCCTGAGGGTCAAAACTCTACAGCCCTTCTAGCCCTCCCAAATGTAAGGGTCCCACTGCACCTGCTCCCCCCAACTCAGAGGTTTACCTAACAAGAACCAGAGTCAACTACACCAAGTCTCCAGCTAACCGGGGCGGGGCCAGGCCCTGAGGCTTTATTTTCCTACCCACGACCCTAGCTGAACCTGCCCGCCCCGCCCTCCCGCTCAGGAAGGTGCAGCAAGATTTCCTCCAGGGGAATCCACTGATAGTTTGTTCGGCAGCTCCCGGACCGGTTAGTCCTTTGGGCCAGGCCTACCTTCGGCTTGCCAAACCCTGCTACCCCTCCCCCCGCCCGCCGACCCTCAGAGCCCCCCTAGCGCGTGCCCCCCCTCACCCAGCACCGGCTTGTCCGCCTGACTCCGGACCGGGGGCGCGGGAGTCCCCGAAGCCGCCGTCGCCGGGTTGCCAGGGGTGCGAGGGCCGGGCACTGAGGGGGTCCCAGCAGCGGGGCCAGAGGCGGCTCCGCCCCCGCCGCCCGACCCGCCGCCTGCTTTCTGCGGCTCTCCCGCGGGCACGGGTACTACCACCGCTACCACCCCTGCCGCCGTCGCGGGCACCGTCGCCGCGGGGGCCGCTGTCGCCACCACTGCCGCCTCCGCCTCGCTCATCCCGCCGGGTCCAGTACCGGCCCCCGCCGCCACCGCCTCCTCCGCCGCTGCCACCACCACCACCCCGGCCCCTCCCCCCGGCTCGCGGACCGGCCACCCGGCTCGGTCCTCGCGCCCCGAGCCTCGCCCGCACGCCTGCCGCGGGCCCGGAGCCGAGGCCAATCGCAGCTGGCTGTAGCGGCGCGCTCAGGTCCCGCCTCCCGGCCGCAGGCCAATCCCGGCCGCGCAGCCCCCCAGGCCCGCACGCCGGCCCCTCCTCCCGGACTCAGCTCCGAAGCGGCGGCCCCCGCCCGCAACTCCGTAAGTACACCTGGGCCCCGCCTCCCCGCCGTCACGTGGCGCGCTCGGCCCAGCCCATTGGCCAGCGACTCCTTTCCCCTCCCCCTTCCGCCCCTTTCCACCGGCCGCGGGAAATCAAACCGGCTGGTGGCGCCCCAACGGCCACCTGGCATGTGCGCGCCAGTAGGGTCCGGGCGAGCCTCCCAGGTTGCCCCTGACGACCCGGGTGGGGGTAGCGGTCAGCAGCCGCGTTTCTGCAGCGAGGGTTCCGCTGGCCTCTACCCTTCAGACGGTCGGTGCCTGGACTCTGCTTTCCCGACCGCACAGAACCTCCCGGCACACTCCTGAACAGGCGCGGTGGTTTTCACAAGCAGAAGCCCCTCGTTTTTAGGGTTTTAGGGCTTTTTGAAACAACGTCTCAGTTACACAGCCTGGCTCTGAACTCCTGATCCTCTTGCTCTCGACTCCCGAAAGTGCAGCATTGCCTGGAGTTAAAAGTCAGCCTGCGTCATATAGTGAATTCCAGGACTATTTGGCTACAGTGAGAGACAATGTCTCCAGGAGAGAGAAACAAAGCAAAGATTTAGTAAATGTAACCATACATGTAACCAACACCCTAAGATACCTTCTTTTTAGGTTGAGTATGGTAGATCACACCCACAATTCCAGCACTCTGAAAGCTGGGGTTGGAAGATTGTCACTAGTTTGAGACCAGCCAGGACTTGTTAAAAACAAGTAAGCCAAAAGGCAAGTTATTTTTGCTACAGGAAGTTCCCTTAAGCCTCTTCTGGGTAACCCGGGCCGTCTGACCCGCTCGCTCCCACAGTTTTGACGTCTCCCACCGAGTACTTTCAGATTTTCTTAGGTCCGCGATCGCAGGGCCCCTGGGCCTCCTGGGCTTTGTACATGCAGTTTGCTTAGAATTTACTTTGTTTCTCCGGATGGGTCTTTTCAAGTATCAACTATCCTATCTTATCGTGACATTTCTTAAAAATATGCAGTGTTTTGACCGTTTATTTCTTTTAATCATCTTAACGAACACACAGTAGGCAGCAAGACGCCACAGCAATAGGAAATTTTGTAGTAATCCCTGACATCTGGAACATCGCACCACCGATCAATTTATTCAATAAGTGTTGATTTCCAGTCTGCAAACGGCCGCCTCCTCCACATGGGAGGACAGGGACGACACTTTACAGAGTTCAATTTTATCTGGTAAAGCAACCCCTCCCCCGGGGAGTAGCACGGATGCCCGACCGCACTGGACCCCACTCGGCAAGTGCGCTCGGGCGGTGCTACAGTCCGCTACGCCGATGGCCAGTGCGGTCGCTCCCTGTCCCAGCGCGCCCTCTGCTGGCCGCTCCCGTAATCCACCTAACCACAATTCAAGAGAATTCCATCAGCAAAACTCAACCCCTCCGGTCCGTTCAGAGCTGAGGATTGTGATTTCTAGACCAACAGGTATAGTGAACAGAAAAAGAGAAGAGAGAGACAAGAAAACAAATCGCCAGTGAGTCAGTAAGATACACAGAAATGACCACTCCTTCCTTACAATGTTAAATACGGTGTTCCAGTGTCGAGCCCTAACCTCAAAGAGATACCGGCTGGGGAGAGTAATCAGATCTCATTGGGGCAACAGGAGAATCACAAGACGTGAAAGGTGTGGAGGAGTTCAGGTGTGGACTGAATTGAGTCCGAGTGTGAAGGGAGAGGAAGCCCACAAGAAGAGGTGAGCCCTTTTCCAATAAAATTTAAAAACTGAGTCCGGCCGTGGTGGCACACGCCTTTAATCCCAATTAGTACTCAGGAAGCAGAGGCAGGCAGATATCTGTGAGTTTGAGACCAGCCTGGTCTACAGAGCGAGTTCCAGTACATCCAAGGCCTCACAGAAAAACTCTTGTTTCAAAAAAGAAAAATCGAGAATCTGATAAAGGTCAGAGAGTAGCTCAGTTGGCAAAAAAGCTTGGCTGTCTTTCAAAAAGCACTGGGTTTTGGGGACTGGAGAGTTGGTTTGGGTTAAGAGCACTAGCTGCTCATGCAGAGGACCTGGGTTCAGTTCCCAGCACATACAATAGCCCATAACCATCTGTAATTCCAGTTCCAAGGAGTCTGATGCCTTTTTTCTGGCCTCTTTGGGCACTAAGCAACTGCATGGTACACACATGTAATCAAAACACTCATAAAATAAAGTCTGAAATATTTTTATTATTTTGTTTTGTTTTGTGAGATAGGGTTTTTCTGTAGCTTTGGAGACTGTCCTGGAATTCTCCCTGCAGACCAGGCTGGCCTCGAACTCACAAAGATCTGCCTGTCTCTGCCTCCCGAGTGCTGGGATTAAAGGCGTGCGCCATTACTGCAGGTTGTTTTTGGTTTTTAAAGACAGAGTTTCACTGTGTAGTCCTGACTGACCTGGAATTTAATCTGTAGGACAAACTGAGATCCCGTCCGCCTCCCAAGTGCTAGGATTAAATGTGTGCGCCACCACCAGTTTTAAAGATGTTTTTGATAAAATAAAGATGGGTGTGGTGCTGGACCTTGTAGATGTTAGTCTACCATTGAGCTATAACCCAGGATCTCAAATTGTTTAGTTGGTTGGTTTCCAGCTTGCTTTTTTGTTGTTTTGAGAAAAGGTCTCACAGAGTAGGTTAGTCTGACCTTGAACTCAGAAACCCACCTGCTTCTTCCTGGGTGCAGAGGCTTTCCCCCGCCCCAGGACATTTTTTGATGACTTATTTACTTTTTTGGTGGTCCTGGCTACCTCTCTCACTCAGCTAGATTCTCTTTCTTACCCTTTTTTTTTTTTTTTTTTTTTTTTTTGGTTTTTCAAGACAGGGTTTCTCTGTGGTTTTGGAGCCTGTCCTGGAACTAGCTCTTGTAGACCAGGCTGGTCTCGAACTCACAGAGATCCACCTGCCTCTGCCTCCCGAGTGCTGGGATTAAAGGCGTGCACCACCACCACCCAGCTTCTTACCCATTTTTTACACTTTTGTTGTGGTTGTTGTTGCTGCTGTTGTTCACGGAGACAGAGTCTCATTAAGTTGCTCAGGCTGGACTTTAACTCCTTCTACAACTTAGGTAGACTTTCAATTTTAGACCTCCCAACCCCAGTCTCCTGAGTAACTCTTCATGGCCATTCACCCTTTCCACAGCCCAACTCTCTCTCTCTAACCCTTCTGTCTCTCTTCCTATGGCTTGCCCTACACCAGCCTCAGTATGCCTAACATCTCCAGGGCTGTGTTCTATCACTTGTAGGTCGTTTTATTTATTTTCTGGCTTTGGCAATCACTTTCTCTTTAATTTAGTAAAATTTATATTTATTACTATATTATATTAGTGTGCCAGCACTCAGAAGGCACAGGCAAATGGAGCTTTGTGAGTTTGAGGTCAGCCTGGTCTATATAATGAGTTCCAGGAAAGCTAGGGTTATATAGAGATCTGCTTCAAAAAATAAAAAAATTAAGTAAACAAAATATACATTTATTGGGGGATGGAGAGTTGGCTCAGTGTTTGAGTGCTTGGAACACATGGTGATTCATAACCATCTGTACCTCTACTCCCAGAGGATCTGACGCCCTCTACTGGCCTTATCTGTCCCTGCAAGCGTGTAATGCATTTGCATGCGTGCAGGTAAAACACTCACTTCCCCCCCCCCTTAATTGCAATTACTCATTGGGGGAGCACATGCCAGAGTGTGTGTAGAGATCAGAGGACAATTTACAGGCGTCAGCTCTCTCCTTGCACCATGTGGGCCTTGTGGATCAAACTCAGGTGGTCAAGCTTTGCGGCAATTGCCTTTACCTGATGAGCCACCCCGCCGGCCCTAAGTGCTCACTTCCTAATAGCTCTCCAACCTGTGTCTGCAATCCTGAGTCCTTCCCGCTCCTACCAGAATCAGAGTACAGTCCTTTTATTTATATAATTACTTACTTACTTGTTTATTTATTTATGGCTTTTCGAGACAGTGTTTCCCCTGTAGTTTTGGAGCCTGTCCTGGCACTAGCTCTGTAGACCAGGTATTGGAATTAAAGGCTTACACCACCACCGCCCCTCTGCCCCC